GTGGGGGGAGTAAAGTGAGAAATCACCCCTGGGAAGATGGCCACGCCCACAGTCTATTCTCCTCCAATCTCCTTTTAGTATATTGTCCATGCACTCACAGGTGCCTGGCCTGATTTTCAAGCCAGTGGGTCTGGGATTCAAATCACACAGTTGGCCATGTGGATCCAGCTGCCTTAACCTCTGCACCACCTGCTAGCCCTATTGCATGTATTTCAGCCTAAGGAAAGTTAGCATGAGAAACGCAGTACCCGGTATCTTCTCTGTTTATGGAATGTCGGTATTTTTGCAAAAGAAATGAAAGAAGCAAGAGCTGCCTTATTCGTTTCTTTATCTGCTGCACTTTTAAGACTTCCAGAAACAGTGTATGCTCAGTTAATATTTATTGAATGAATAAATGAAAGAATAAATAAACTGCTCAGCATCAGAATGAATAGCTGAGGACATTTTGGAGCTCCTTCAAGCTATTGATAATGCTACGGGTCTGCCGGTGGAGCTGGGGATCTGGTGTGGCAGGAGGCAGGGCGTCTTCGTTACTCCATCCCCACTCTGGGAAGCTGCCAAAGGAGGAGGGAAAAAATAAGGAGAGGACGTGGGGACTTTGCAATGCTGGGCAGGTATGTTTGCTGCAGTCTCGGGTGAACTAATAAACCCTGGGTACCTCATAGACAGATGTTTTCAGAGTTGAGACTTTGGTCCCAGAGTAGAGTGGACTGGTCTGGGAAGATGGAAAAGAACACCAACACATGGCCCTGGGAGGGAGGCCTATCCTGGTGGGCCTAGGGCCTCATTTGATCTGAAATTTGACTTTATGTATGTATATGCATAAATTCACTGACTGGACTAAAAGAACATTAAGGCACTTTTCACTTTGTATTTCATTAAATTTACAGTGTATTATAAATTTGGAAAATTAAAAAAAATTAAACAATTATTTATTTTAATTTCTTCTTCACCATCATCATCTTCTTCTTCCTCCCCCTCCTTTTCCTTCTTCCTTCTTCCTTCTCCTTTTTCCTCCTTCTTCTTCTTCCTCAGTTTGACCAGAGAGACAGAGAAATGGAGAGTACGAAAGCAAGCCACCAGGTTCAGGGCTCAACCTACAGTTGGCCACATGGGAGTCCAGCACCTTAACCACCACGCCACCTGCTGGCCCCCCCCAAAAAAATGTAAAAATTTTAAAAGATTATTTTCCTTCTTTCCTTTTGAGACAGGGACCTGCCATGTTGCAGTCCTCTCCCCAACCATCCTGCTAGCCTGGATCAGGTGCACCTAGTGTGGTAGGTAGACCAAGGTTCTGAAGCCCAGGTCTTCCTGTGTGGCCCCAGAACCACACTGCAGCACTGCAGCACCCTACCATTTGTATCATGGCAGCTGAGCCAAGAGTTGTTTTTTGTTGTTGTTGTTTGTTTGTTTTTGCTAGAGGGCTTGTGCACTGGCCGGAGAGAGAAAGAGAAAGTGAGAAATTACTTCCCAGGGAGGATGGCCGTGCAGCAATCCCTTCTCTGTTCTTCTCTTGGGATTTTGGCCTTGCATGTACATATGCCTGTGGTGATTTTCTTTCCTTTTTTATTTATTAAAATTTATTTATTCATTCATTTACTTTAATTTGACCACAGAGAGAGCGAGAGAGCGAGAGGGAAAGTGAGAAAGCAAGCGACCAGGTCTGGGACTCAAACCGTGGTCAGCCATTTGGGAGTGTCCAGCGCCTTAACCACCACGCCACTTTCTGGTCCCTTATTTCTTTTTTTTAATTAATTTATTTTACATTCATTCACTGAACATCATCACAACATACCAAATGCAGTTTCTCATCCAGAATACACTGTATAGTGGCTTAGTCGTACATGTCATCATCAACAAATAATTTTTCATTTCAATATATGTGTGTATATATGTATGTATATACATGTACATATGTATATATATATCCCATTTCTCACAAGCTGCTGGGTCTTGGACTTGAACTGAGCAGCTAGCCAAGTGGGATCCAGCCAACTTAACTTCCATGCCACCTGCTGGCTAGAGCCAGGAATTTTTTTTTTTTTTTTTTTAGTAAACCTAGCAATGCCTTGTGAATGGCACAAACTATATTATAGAAGGGGTTAAGATGCCAACTCATTAAATGTGAATATTTCAAATATATTATAATTAGTAAAATCTCATTTTGACCTTTCTTTAATTTTTAAAATATGAAAAATCTCAAAAGCCTAAAGCCCCTGAGGCTCCATCTGAGATGTTTCAGGACAAATATTTGGGAATAAAAAGTATGTGGTGCCAATAGTTCCCCAAATGTGCTGTTCTTTTCTGTCTCCTCTACATCCTACACACTGTTCCTGGGGACAGGAGCACGGGCCTTTCGTATTCACCCCGTCCCCACACTCGGCAGTATTTCTCAGCGTTACAGCTCCCCTCAACACTCAACCCGGCGTTTTTAACCCCAAAGCCTCCTGCATTCTCTAGTCTGACTGGGTGCCCCTCCTCTGAGTTCGTTTAGTGCCTGTCCTATTGGTCCCACTAGCCTCTCTCCCCACTACAGTATAAATTCCTTTGGGGCCGGCATTGCCCCGCTTATCCTCTGCATTCTCAGAATTCAGCACAGAGCCTGGCACCTGGTAGGTAGGTGCTCAGGCCCTCAGCAATCTCTGGGAGCTCCAAATTCCTATCCATGCCCCTCCCTAGAGTAATAAAAAACAAAATAAAACAAAACACTGTTTTAAGAGATGGGTCTGGTTCTAAGTCCACACTTGGAAGTTTCGCAGACTCAGTGGAAAGCATGCCACCTACAGAGAGACCCAAGTGCCATTTAGTTACATATCAGCACTCTAACACTACAGGTTCAGGGTAAAATTAAGCTAGGCAGAAAACTGTCAGGGAAGGGAAAATATGAAATACTGGCACTGTGGAGGAACACCAGTGGAGGTGAAGTGCTTTGTCTCAAGCCGGACACGGTGGAGCATGGATCTGGCAGGGCTGACACAGGACTCCCTGATCACAAGGCAGTGCTGAGTCATGGGCTCGGCTTTGTTTGCAAAGTGCACAGCAGCTGGGTCTGAGTTTGCCTCATGCACTCTGGTGTGCATGCTTTCCAAAAACAAAATCTGTTCCCATTTTGTTCAGGTGACTGGCCTTTTGCAATACAGTCAATCGAAAAAGGAAAAAAAAAAAAAAAGGGTCTAGAAACAACCTACCCTGAATAGAAAAAGTCTTGAGAGGATTTAAAAATGGGAGAATAATTTCAGACTGCCCAGAAGACATTAATTAGCATTTCACTTTCACAGATTTGACAAGATTATTCTGAATTTCACCCCGATGATGGCCACTTGCCTTAATGTCCAGGGGAGCTGTTATAGGGGGTCCATAAATCTTAGCCGGCCTCGCCCTGCACGGTGAGCAAGACCATTGGCTGAGAGAATCTGCACTGGAAGAGCACATGTTAATTAGTCTCATCCACCCACTAGGGTAACTAATAACTGAACACTTACCTAATGAGCTAACACTCTCACCTGTCAGAGCCAGAGGTAAATGCCAGATTGGAATTTGGTGGTCCTCCACATTATACCCTAAAAATAAACCAAGAGATGGTGTGCAGTACCAAATGTGGGGCAAACGTTCCAGTGGTGCGAAGTGGACATGCTAAGTCTCAAAATGGCCCGGGGTTGCCGGGAAAGAGCAGCAGGTAGACCAGCCTGAGGTGAGTCATGAGGTAAGAGTCATATGTCTTACACACCACAGACAGCAGCTACTCTCCTGAAGTTACTAAGGCAACCCGTGTTTAACCATATTGTACCTCATAGTAGTCATTACCTTTTGCAAGAAAAGCCATCAAGGATTTTATGATATCTTGGGCCAAGTTACAAATGTGTGTTTGGTGGTGGCAGTAGCACGGTTTAGGTGGCACTGATTCCCCCACACAGAGTTTCTATTCTCTTTCCTTCCATTTGGGAAACTTGACTGGCTGGCCAGGATGGACTGAAGGAGGCCAGCACGAAATTCAAGCAGTTTGCCAAGAATGACTAGCACGAGATAGCGAAGCATACTCTAACACAGAGACCCCAGGGGAGATGCGAGCACTTGATGCTTGACTGTTACACATTTTAATGACAGGTCCATCATGAACCACCTTGTATAACTGCTGTTTGGGGGTAAGGTCCATTTCAGAGTCTGATTTTCTTGAAAGTTATGAAAGGTATGTCCTTTATTTCCTCCCAAAGTTTTTGTTTTTATTTACTGTCTTCTTCTAAGACAGAGAGAGGGAGAAAGGAAAAAGTCACCCCCACCACAGGCCTCACATCATGACCTGCCCCCCAGTCTCAACCAGCCAGATCATGGGCACATGCATGTTCTTGGCATGCTCGGGGAGGTCCCAGGACACAAACCCAGGACCTTTTGCATGTAGGTTAGGTTGTGCCACCATTGTGCCATCACCTGGCTCCCAGACTAATGTTCCTGAAGCTGGTACTAGACTATAAACCAGCTGATTGCCACGGGAGCTGTAGGCCAAAAAGTATCAGAATAAAGTTTCTGTAAAGTCTTATAATTTTCTCTCACAAAAATGAAAAGTGAGAAGCATCTTCAAAAGTACTGAATGCATGCGTTTCTTAATGGAGACTCTGTTTTCTAAAAATATTAGGCTGATTTACATTATTCTACTTGGACTGACAGCTGGTTCAGTGCATTCTGCAGGCAGCTTAGGGTTTAACTCAATGAAGAGGCCCTGGAGGGTAAGTTTTGTTTCATTACCTGTCCTTCCGTGTGAACCTGAATGGGCAAAGTTCATATGAAGGGGTGTCCTGAGGTCTTGGCTTTGGATGTTTTCTTTTTTTGTGATCACAAAGAATGAAAACAAGTTGGTGAGCAGTAGCATGGGTGTGGGGAAACGAAATGTTTGGGAACTGAAAGTCCTCACGTGTGCTGGGCACATCCTGGTGGGGTTGTTAGGGAAACCAAAAGAGGACTTGCCTCCACATACAGTTGTCTCAAAACAAATAAGTCGGTGTGCTACACGAGACCCGTGTGGGGACTAGGCCAGATGTAAGGGAAAGGTGCTCTGCTCAGCAGTTAACAAGCAACCAACCTGGACAAAGGCAGGGTGCCACACCTTCAAACGGAGCCTATCTTCTTGGGGAAGGGCCCCTCTGAGAGCTGGGCTGTACTATAAAAGGCCATGTCAGGGAGGGTATTTTTTATTTGGTAAGAGAGCCTAACATACTCAGGAAAAGGTTTAATTAGCAATTTTAGAAGAACACGTAAGTTTCAAGGGAGGGCGTCATTTTTTAACTTGGAGCTGAATTATTATGATTATATTTATAATCTGATAGCAAATCACGATATTCCTCTTTCCTGACATCAACTGAAGAGTGATTATCTGCACAATACAAAATATGGCTTCTATTCTACCTGCTTCTAATATATCCGGGAAATCTGACAGAAATGCATATGTTGGGTGAGTAATTTTAATTTGTTTTAATCAGACAATTAAAAAAATTAATAATTTTTTATAAAATTATATGTATTGAATTTTATATTAAATGATCACATGATGGGCCTCACAGTTATGTTCATTCTTTATGATGGGCATCTACAGTTATGTCCATTACTTAAGTTTGGAGATTATATAGTTGGAATATAGCTCATAATACAAAACAAATGAAGAGCAATGCATTTATTTTTCCTAATGACATTTTATTCCTTGTTTCTTTGGAGAGGAATATTGGCTCATTTAAAAAAAGTGAGTTGAGGGGACCAGCAGTTAGCGTAATGGCTATGTCACTGTACTCCCACGTAGTCGACCGTGGTTCGCGTCCCGGACCCAGTGGCTTAAAACTCACGCCGGGCATGTGTGAGTACGTGCCCAAGATCCTGAGAGGAGAATGGAGGAGAAGGGATTGCGGCGTGACCATCCCCCCTGGGGGGTGATTTCTCGCTTTCTGTCTCTCTGTCTCTCTCTGTCTGTCTGGCGAGCACATGTGCCCTATGGCAAAAATCTCTAAAAAAAAAAAAAAAAAAGAAAAGAAAAAAAAATGGGTTGAAAGCCAGCAGGTGGCGTGGTGGTTAAGACCCTGAACTCCCTCATGGTTGACTGAGGTCTGAGTCCCAGACCTGGTGACTTGTTTTCTCTCTTTCTCTTTCTCTTGTGAATGCACATGCCCTATAGCAAATTAAAGCATAATGATAATAATAAATAAAATTCAATAAATAATTCTTTAAAAAGAAGAAAATGGGGTAAAGAAAATTATGAACAATGTGCAAACAGTTCATCAATTTGTAGGAGTGGACAAATTTGAAGTTCAGCCTGGAATTCACTAAGGAGTTCTGCCTTGAATTTCAGGACCACGGGCTATATCTGAAAAATAATTAAAGGGGCCTCCCAGTGCCTGAGGGAGATTTAGCTATATTGCAGCATATTATAAAGTGATTTCATATGCTTTATGATGGACTTTACATAGAATTCACTTTTAAAATACCGTGGATGTTATTCATCTCAGGAGTAGACATCAATCTGCCGAAGCTGTCTGCAAACTTAGCTTCAATTCCTGCCCCAGGTTAACCGAACATAATAGAGCATTAATCTTTATGAGGCTTAAGGAATTCTTTCAAGTTCCTTCTGATTTGCTGAGAGTTGTGTGCAATGCCTTGCTTAGAACCTCCTTCATGTTAGCATTTCAGAAAATGCGTCATTTACCCATCCCGAACAGAGGTAGCCCCCTGCCATGTTCATTTCTTCAGAGAAGCCAAGGAGAGAGAGAAAAGGAAAAAATTATAAAGATGAAGGTAATAGAAAATGAAAAGACTGCTTCCCAGCCAGTCAGTATCTTTAGTAACCAAATATTTAACACTGAATCTGCTATGTAACTTGTCATGGCTTGCTAAAAGACTCCATGCCATGTGTTAGGAAAAGAAAAGAAAAGACACAAAAAGTTTGAGGAAGAAATAGTGCATGCAAGTCTACTTAGTAAAATCACATATTTTGGAAAGATAAAATATTGCAATAGCCAGATTCATACTGGGTTGAATTTGACATGCAAACTCAAACAAGCCTGCTCTTCCGTCACTGACAAAGTGATCATCTTGGAAGTACTTCTTGATGAGCCCAATGAGACAGAAGTCTTCTACAGATATCCTCCCCCAGATTTTCTGACTGAAGGGTCACTAGCTATTTTGATGAACCATTAAGGCAAACTAAAAACCAAACCAAACAAAACACAACAACAACAAAATAAAACAGAACTCCTAATACATTAATAGCATTATTATAATTAATTTTAAAAGAATATAACTAATGCCGATGTTACTTTGAGAATTTGTTCTGGAAGACAGCAAAAATAAAGTAGATCAGTGATTTTAAAAACATCAAAGCCCAGCCTTCTTTGACCAATTGAGTCAGAATTTCTAGAGACAGGGTCCAGGTATTACTATTCTTAAAGCTCCTGGATGACTCTGATAGGTAGCCAGAGTTTAGAATCACTGGATAGGTGAATGAGACTCTTAGAGTAATGATTTGTAGATTCAGTTGGGAATTCAGAGGAAAATCTCCAGATCATGAAAGTACAATAGTTTGGGCAGAGTGAAACAGAACGCGTAATAGAATTTGGGAGAGAAAGTAAGTGGCAGTGTCCCTCAGACTTCGATGTGCACCCAAGTCACACAGAGGGTCAGCATGCAGAGTTGAATTCAGTAAGTTTGGGATGGAGCCTGAGACTTTGCATCTCTAACAAGCTCTTTGGGTGATTCTGATGCTGCTGGTTCATGAATCACATTTTGCAGAATGAGAGATGATGGGTCAGGGGCTCCTTGCCTTTCCTAAGAAAGGACCTGTCTGAGATTTCAAGGCTAGTTCTGAAGTAGTAAAGTGCATTAACAACATGAAATATTCTGTTTTTGAAACAGGTATGGCCCACTAATTGAAAATCTGTTACTCTAAATGTTTTGGAGGAGGAAATTAATAGTATTTTGTTCCACTTTCTGAACAGTTAAATTTAATTCAACAATAGAATTTGTTAAGACTTAAGGATTAAAGAAGGATGTGTGAGGGAATTCACATATACCAGGGAATTCACAATCTTCCTTGAGAGACAGAGAATTAATTATATTACAGTGTGAAATACTATCAGCATTAGCATGAAACAAATGCTTTGAGAGCACACAAGAAAACAAATTAATAAAAAGTACAGAAAGGAGGGAAGACACATGCAAGCGCCTTCTGGAAGAGGAAATATCTGAACTGGACTTTAATAAATGAGGATTTCAATAGGTGAAAAATGGAAGGGGAGGGGACAGGATGTTTCAGGAACAAAGGTCTAAAAGAAAGGTTTGTAGGTTTGACTGTGTATAAGATCAATTGAGAAGACTTAAAAAATTTAAGGAGTATTTGTTTAATTAATTATTATTATTATTCAATTTGATCGCTCTTTGGGTGATTCTGATGCTGCTGGTTCATGAATCACATTTTGCAGAATGAGAGATGATGGGTCAGGGGCTCCTTGCCTTTCCTAAGAAAGGACCTGTCTGAGATTTCAAGGCTAGTTCTGAAGTAGTAAAGTGCATTAACAACATGAAATATTCTGTTTTTGAAACAGGTATGGCCCACTAATTGAAAATCTGTTACTCTAAATGTTTTGGAGGAGGAAATTAATAGTATTTTGTTCCACTTTCTGAACAGTTAAATTTAATTCAACAATAGAATTTGTTAAGACTTAAGGATTAAAGAAGGATGTGTGAGGGAATTCACATATACCAGGGAATTCACAATCTTCCTTGAGAGACAGAGAATTAATTATATTACAGTGTGAAATACTATCAGCATTAGCATGAAACAAATGCTTTGAGAGCACACAAGAAAACAAATTAATAAAAAGTACAGAAAGGAGGGAAGACACATGCAAGCGCCTTCTGGAAGAGGAAATATCTGAACTGGACTTTAATAAATGAGGATTTCAATAGGTGAAAAATGGAAGGGGAGGGGACAGGATGTTTCAGGAACAAAGGTCTAAAAGAAAGGTTTGTAGGTTTGACTGTGTATAAGATCAATTGAGAAGACTTAAAAAATTTAAGGATTATTTGTTTAATTAATTATTATTATTATTCAATTTGATCAGAGAGATACAGTGAGAGAGGGAGAGAGAGACAGAAAGCAAGCTGCCAGGTCTGGACTCAAACTATAGTCAGCCATGTGGGAATCCAGTGCCTTAAATCCACCACACCACTGCTGGCCCCTATCTGGGAAAGTTGTAAGGGAGATACTTTCAGAGTCTAAATCACTGAGTCCTGATCATTAGTGTTTTTTTATTTTTATTTTTTTGAGAGATTTTTGCTATAGGGCGCATGTGCTTGCCAGAAAGACAGAGAGAGACAGAGAGAAAGTGAGAAATCACCCCCCTGTGTGTGGGGGGGTGGCCACACCACAAACCCTTCTCCTCCATTCTCTTCTCGGGATCATGGGCACACACACACATGTGCCCAGAGTGAGTTTTAAGCCATTGGGTCCAGGACTTGAACCACAATGGACTACATGGGAGTCCAGAGACATAGCCATTATGCTAACTGCTGGTCCCTTTTTTTTTTTTTTTAGAGGCATTTTTGCTATAGGGCATGTGGGCTCACCGGAGAGACAGAGAGAGGTAGAATGAGAAATTACCCCCCCACCCCCACCCCAGGGAGATGGCCATGCAGCGATCCCTCTTCCATTCTCCTTTCTGGATTTTGGGCACACACACACACACACACACACACACACCTGATGTCAGTTTCAAGCTCCCTTCTCCTCCATTCTCCTCTCTGGATTTTGGGCACACACACACACACACACACACGACATGGGTTTCAAGCCTCCAAGTCTAGGACTCAAACTACAGTTGGCCCTGTGAGAATCCAGTAATGTAACCATTACTCCACCTGCTGGTCCCAGTCATCAGTATTTTTGAAGTGTTCAGTCAGAAATGCTTGCACATCTATGTTTATTGCAGTGTTATTCACAATTGCTAAGACATGAAACCAACCAAATGTCCATGAAGAGATGAATGAATTGAAAAAGTGTGGCACATAAACTCTATGGAATACTTCTCAGCCATAAAAAACAAAACAAAACAAAACAAAAAACAACAACAACAACAACAACAAAACAAGATGTAGGGAACCAGCAGCTAGCGTAATGGCTATGTCGCTGGACTCCCATGTAGTTGACCGCGGTTCGCGTCCCAGACCCAGTAGCTTAAAACTCATGCGTGCCCAAGATCCCGAGAGGAGAATGGAGGAGAAGGGATTACGGCGTGACCATCCCCCCGAGGGGTGATTTCTCGCTTTCTGTCTCTATGTCTCTCTCTGTCTGTCTGGCGAGTGCACATGCCCTATAGCGAAAACCTCTCAAAAAAAAAAAAAAAACCAAGATGCTGGCCTTTGATAGAAAGTGGACAAATATAAAACATTCTCTGCTGAGTGAAGCAAGCCAGGCTGTGAAAGACAGACATCGTATGCCTCCACTTAATATATACCAACTGTCCTTACTCTATGGAGGAAATGGAAAGATTAGTATATATAGAAACAGGAAAAATTGTTACAGATACTGGAGACAGTGTGGGAAGACGGGGAGAAAAGCGGGAGAGTGAGAGGTAGGGAATCAAGGTGAAAAATAGAGAGGCAAAACATACGGGACACAGAAATGAATGGTTATCTGTTGACGATAACATGTATGGAATATTCAACTGGATTGGTGTGAAGTGTATTCATGTTAGGTAAATTCACTTTACAAGTTGTAGTGATGTATAGAGATTGAATGTATAAAATAAATTTTTATAAATGCTGATGGGGCCAGCAAGTGGCATGGTAGTTAAGGTGCTAGTCTCACATGGCCAACCAAAGTTCAAGTCTCAGACCTGAAGGCTTGTTTTCTCACTTACCCTCTTTCTCTCTGATGGTGTTAGTGCACATTCAAGTTGAGCATCAATAGATATGTATCAAGATTCAAGATTTGCTAATGTTTTGAGGTGTGC